CACTTAGGCAAGGCAAGGCAAGGCAAGTTTATTTGTAGAGCACAATTCGTACACATAGTAATTTAAAGTGTTTTACAGATTAAGAAAATTCATTAAAATCACAATACAAAATATAAACATAAATAATCATTATAAAATGAACTTTAAAAGAGAAGAGTGCAGATAAGATCCTTTCAGTCATATGCACAGTGAAATAGAGCTGTTCTGTTTTGAGCCTAGATTTGAACAGATTTGATCAGAGTAGAGGCCTGTCTCACATCTTCAGAAAGACTGTTCCAGATTTTAGCTGCATAAAACTAGAATCCTGATTCCCCATGTTTAGTCCTGACTCTGGGCACCAGCAGGAGGCCGGTCCCTGAGGTCCTCAGAGTCCGAGATGGTTCATATGGCACTAACATGTCAGAGATGTACTTTGGTGCTAGGCCGTGGAGAGACTTGTACACAAAAGCAGAGCTGCTTTAAAGTCTATTCTCTGAGCCACAGGAAGCCAGTGTAGAGACCTGAGCACAGGACTAATGTGCTCGTACTTCCTGGTTCTGGTCAGGACCCGAGCAGCAGCATTCTGGATGTACTGCAGCTGTCTTATGGCCCGTTTGGAGAGGCCAGTGAGCAGGCCGTTACAGTAGTCTAACCTACTAGAGACAAATGCATGGATCAGTCTCTCCAAGTCAGGTTTAGACACTATACCTTTGATTTTGGCAATGTTTTTTAGATGGTAAAAAGCTGCTGATGTTATTGATTTGATGTGGCTGTTAAAGTTCAAGTCTGAGTCCATTATTACCCCGAGATTTCTAACCTGATTTGTAGGTTTTAGAGAGAGAGACTGGAGGTGACTGCTGACACTTTCTCTTTGTTTCTGTGGACCAAATACGATGACTTCAGTCTTGTCTGAATTTAGCTGGAGAAAGTTGTTTTGCATCCACACACTGACCTGTTGGATGCAGTGACAGAGTGAATCCACTGGTCCATATTCACCTGCTGTCAGTGAGACATAGATCTGAGTGTCGTCTGCATAATTGTGGTAGGACACATTATTACTTTGTATTAACTGGCCTAAAGGCAGCATGTAGAGATTGAACAGAAGGGGTCCCAGGATTGACCCTTGGGGCACCCCACAGGTCAAGGCCATGTGGTCTGAGACACAGTTACCAATTTCAACAAAGTACTTCCTGTCTTCTAGATAGGACTTCAACCAATTTAGGGCAGTGCCAGAGATGCCCACCCAGTCCTCTAGTCTCTGTGAAAGGATCTCATGATCGACAGTGTCAAAAGCAGCACTCAGATCTAGCAGGACTAAAACTGAGACTTTGCCTGCGTCAGTGTTCAGGCGGATGTCATTTGTCACCTTAATAAGAGCGGTCTCAGTGCTGTGATGGGGTCTAAAACCTGACTGGAAAACATCAAAGGAGTTGTTCATTAGGAGAAAGTCAGTAAGCTGTTGGTAAACAACTTTCTCAAGGACTTTGCCTAAAAACGGCAGATTTGAAATGGGCCGGTAGTTGTTCAGTACTGTGGCATCAAGACTGCTCTTCTTTAGGAGAGGCTTTATGACCGCAGTTTTCAAGGCCTTTGGGAATGTTCCAGATTGTAGTGACATGTTAACTATGTGAGCGAGTGGTGGTAACAAACTGCTCAGCACAGACTTTAGAAATCTAGTGGGTAACACATCGAGGCAGCATGTAGATGAACTCAGACTGGTGATGATCTCTTGGACAGTTTTGTCAGTTACAGGTGCAAAATGAGTCAGCTCTAAGTGTCTAGGTGGCTGCAGGGTTGTTATTGGTGTTGTGGAATTGATGGCATTTTTAATGGTCTGAACCTTGTCGCAAAAGAATACTGCAAACTCATTACACTTAGATGTGGAGATCAGTTCCAACGGCAGTTGAGCTGGAGGGTTTGTTAATCTGTTCACTGTTGCAAATAAGACACGCGAGTTGTTACTGCAGTTTCCAATAATTTCAGAAAAGTACCTCTCCCTTGTTCTACGTAAGATCCGGTTGAACACGTACAACTTTTCTTTATAAATTTCATAATGAACATGAAGCTTTGACTTGCGCCATTTCCGCTCGGCCCTCCGGCACTCCCTTTTCTGTGCCCTGACCGAGTCGTCATTCCTCCATGGCGCCTTCTGCTTATTTTTAACCATTTTAACCTTCACAGGGGCAATGGTGTCCAGAACATTCAAAACACTCGAAGTAACAGAGTTCAACAAATCATCAACATTAGAACATGAGGCATTTTCAAAGTTTATCATTTCCATGAACAGAGCACCTGTGCTGTTATTTATGTGTCTCCTCCGAACAACTGCAGGACCAGCCGGTGGTTTGGGAGAAACAGACAGGTCAAAGAAGACACAGAAATGATCAGACAGAGCAACATCAACCACATTGACGTTTGAAATATTAACCCCCTTTGTAATGAGCAGGTCCAGAGTGTGCTGCGCTCTGCTGTGGGTGGGCTCACACACATGCTGAGTCAGGCCAAAGGTTTCAAGGACAGCACTGAGCTCTTTAGCATTTCTGTCGCTTATAATTGTCTCGGACTTGGGTCGGGTTCTGTCAGGAAAATGCGGCCCAAGCCACGCTCTAGTGTGCTCACCTGTGTGTGCGCACGTGTCTGTTTGTGTGTGTGTGTGTGTGTGTGTGGGGGGTGGACCTCCGCCGTGCGCAATACAGAGAGCAGAGGAGAATTGTAAACACGCGACCATGTAGAGACAGAAATGACATGCCGTTGCGTAAATAAGATAAATAACATAAGGCTATTTAGTTTATGAAGAGATAAGACAGAGCAACTAGCAACTAGCAGTGGCGGTTGCATATAGGGGAAACACTGACTCTGTCTCCTGTAGGCAGAGATGGTTTAGCACTGCACATTAAACAATGTTATGTAATAGTGTAACCTTTAGCATCAGTCTCAAACCTTTAACAGGACATGTTCTTCAGTCTGGCTGGCCTACATTTCTATATCAAATGATTATAATAAATATGTTAAATATGACTTAAATAAATAAATAAATAAACAAACCTGTACCTGATAAATAACCTAAATAGTTTAACCGCTAGGTTAAATAGTTTTGCAATTTCAGACAAAACTGACATAAAATATGATTGATATGATATAATTTTAAAATGTCTCTTTGTGTCTCAGGTCATGGTATGGAAGACACACGCATCACCCGTGCCATTGATCTATGCAAACGAGTGGTCAGCAGCTTCTCCAATAGCTGGAAGAGGAGGAGGAACCTGACTAAAGTACAGATGCAGCTGGGTCTGCCACGCCAACAGCTCATCACCGAGTCAGTCACTCGCTGGGGGTCACGGCTGGACATGATTGAGACGGTCCTGGAGCAGGAAAGAGCGCTGATGACAAAAAGACACGGCCTCTTGTCACCACCTGCCAGTGTGAAAACAGAAGCTTGGTCTGCGTGATGTTTGACTGCTGTGCCTGTGACCCGCAACTTTCTTTTTGGAAATAGTCGCTATCAAAGGTTATTTTATTTACTTCAAATGTAATCCTTCTGGGCTGCCAGATCAAACTCTCTGGCGGGCCGCACACCAGAGTTTGCAATCAGTGGGGCTGGCTGAAATTGAAAGCATTGTGGTGGCGCCACTGTCATAGGACCACCGCCTTTTAAAACTGCCATTTATTTATTACAGAAAATATCGATATATATCTTATATCGAAATTCCAGGTAAAGATATAGAGATATTGATTTTGTTCCATATCGCCCACCCTTATCTGGAATAATCCTGACTTCACAATGAACAGATAACCACTTCACTTCTCAGCGTGGATCAGTAAAGGCATCACGCACCTCAAACATATCTACCATAACAACACTTTGGTCTCATTTCCTCCTGTGCTTCAGAAGTACGGCATCAGGGAGAATCACTTTCTAGAATTTCTTCATCTTAAATCCTCAGTTAAAGAAAAAAATCAGCATTACCTCTTCCAACTTAGATCCCCCCCCCCACTAACATCGGACCTGATTAACATCTCTTCCAGAAAAAACTACTGGCCAAAATTTGTAAGATAATATCCACACCCGATCATTCAATAGCCATCCCCTCAGAAAAATGGGAACATGACCTGCAGATCACCCTCGGTGCCGACTTCTGGGCCCAAATATGCAAAAATATTTTTTCTATGTCCACTAATACAAACACACAACTCATTCAATACAACATTATTCACAGGGTACACTAAACAGAGGAAAGAATGTTTAAAATGGGTTTTATAGACATAGATATCTGTCCACATGGCTCACAAAACGCCATAGATAGCTATATGCATGCCACATGGAACTGCACACCTATTAAACAATTCTGGCAGGACATCACTGACAACCTCTCTCTTCTCCTGGGCTGCCACATCCCACTCCCCCCCTCACTCTACTTACTTGGTGACATATCCACCATAAACCTCAACAATACATCTCGCACAATACTCTCAATTGCCCTAACCATTGCTAAGAAAACCATCCTCATGAACTGGAAAACAAGGAACAAAATTTCCATCACACTCTAGAAATATCTACTAATCAAATACATATAAATGGAAAAATTATCTGCTTCAATTAAAAAACATTGTTATGGTTGTTACAACTTTTTTATAATTTATTTTCTTTGTTTCAAATCAAACACATTGCTGTTTTTTTCCATCAACTGTCTTTTGTTACTACTATAATCACTTTCCCCATCAGTTTCAGCCTGGAGGATGCTCATAAGTGCTGTGCTCCAAATCATAAACTCTTACAAATTATGGCCCCAAATGTGGGAAAACAGAGCCAAGTAAGATTCTCATGTCTAGCCTGTTATTACCACTCGGGTACTAAAATGAACCCTCTTTTCTAATTGGTAAAATTAAGGAGGTACAATATGAGGGTGTCACCGAGGTAGGATAAACAGTCAGTGCCTGATTTTGTGATATAGACAAGCCTTTGAAGGACCTGGGAGGAAGGAACAGTTCATTGATAAGAGATTTAAAGAGACTGCAAATACCTGTGTGGTGAGCTGGTACTGCAGCTGTTCCAAAGCAATCAGCCCATCATGATGGTCTCCTTGTTTCTCTGTGGACGAGTCCCTCTCTGGCTCCACTGGTTCTGTCAGACACAGAGAGTTGTCTGGGTCTGTGGGTGCTTTCCACTATGCTAATTATGCTTCCTATTGTCCTAGTTCCTCCATCCTCTGAACACTGATGGAGGTCTGCCATCACTGAGGATGTTCCAGTTGCTTAGGAGGTAAAGAAAGAGGAGAGAGGAGGCTCCCGAAGGATCCTGGAGTGAGGAACCACATGTGTATCCTATGCAGATGTTTTTTACCAAATGGCAACACACCTACGATTGGAAACCATTTTAGTAAATGGTGACCTGATCTCATTGGGCAGTAAAAGAAGTGGCTGGCTCTTGTGGAAACAGCTTTACTATAATAATATTCATAATATTGTATGATTGTAATACTTTAGGTAAATTTCCTGTGGAAACAGGAACAAGAGAAACAAGTTTCTGAGTGCTGTATCGTAGGCAACTGGACTTGCTTAGCCCAGCAAGTCCAGATGGCTATGATATAACACTAAGAATTACCATGACCTGGATGACTGAGAATCTTCAACAACAGAAACAACTGTGGCTTGATAGTTATTTACAAAGGAGCATTAGAGCCATGTTCAGGGAAAATAAATCTTAGATGTCAAGAATAAAGTTGTAAATCTACACGGATAAAATTGTAATTCTACGAGACCATGGTAATGCACAGTTTAGCATGACCCAGATGTGCGATCACCAGTGGCACCCTTCTATAATGTTGTTTGACACAACAACCTCCAGGGGATATTTTTTCCAGGTGGCGCACGGGTGGAAGTAGAGCAGTGTGGATCAGTGTGGATGAATGAAAAATTAAAATAATAAACTAAAATAAAATAATGGTGTTGCGTTATGTGACAATGTAAATGTAATAGTATCACCCGAAATCTGCTAAAGCGTATATTACTGTCACCCCCAACACTGTGCACACTTTGTCCCTTTTTATACCATGTTACCCAACTTTCTGGTCTTAATCTGTGACTTTGTTTCTCTTTTCTTCTCATCCCCGTCACCAAGACCAAGTACCGCACCCTGGGGGACAGAGCATTCGCCATCGCCACCCCTACCCTCTGGAACTCCCTGCCCCTGGCCATCCGGAACTCTGATACACTCCCCTCATTCAAGAGTCAGTTTAAATCCCATCTCTTCAGGATCACCTATATCATCTGAAAATCCTCCCCCGTCATCCTCCACCCGCTCTTTCTCTTAATATGTTGTCCCTTTGTTATAGTGTTGTTTACCTGCCTTTTGTTTGAGTGTTTTGTTTGAGTGCCTGTTTCTGTGCGTATTCTTTTGTAAAGCGTCTTTGAGTACCTAGAAAAGCTCTATATAAAACTGATTTATTATTATTAAAATTACGAATTTCATTTCGCAGTATTTCAGCTGCATTCTCTTAGATTTACAACTTTTTTTTCGTAATACTATGACTTTATTCTTGTAAATTTAGGACTTTATTCTCGTATGATTTACGACTTTATTCTCATAGATTTATGACTGTATTCTCTTAGATTTACAACTTTTTTTTCGTAATATTATGACTTTATTTTCGTATATTTATGACTTTATTGTAATATTATGATTTTATTCTTGTAGATTTACGACTTTATTCTCGTATTTTTTTTCTTTAACATGGCCCTAATCCACCTTTGTAGTTATTCATTTTTATTCATAAATAAAATATTTGATAGATTTGTATAGAATTTGAATCATGAATGAAAAGACACTTTTTTCTTATTTTGCAAGGTATTCCTACCAGCATAAGCTAATTTAAACCTGATTTGTGAACATCAGTTCCTTAAATAAAAGCCTGCTTATATCAGTAACTCTGCTGAACTAAATACCCCCTTGGAAGCGAGTTTTTAAGACCACAAATCTTAACCTGGCCAAGCAACCATACAGCCCCATAAACTCACCAGAGGAGTTGTGGTCAGCTACTGGACCTACTTTTATTTTCGTTTTAATGACATACGGTGCTCATAGCTGCTCTTCAATGTGTGTGTGTGTGTGTGTGTGTGTGTGTGTGTGTGTGTGTGTGGTGGTGGAAAGTGAGTCTGTTATTTTACCCTGTGGTCCAGCTGTGGTTATTTGTGCACGGAGGCGGTTGCCTATCTCTATCAGCTGCTGTTTCTCTCTGCTCAGACGAGCAATACGGGATGCTGCCTGCTTTAGCCTGGTATTGCTTTTAGCGCTCTGCACATTTTCAAACAAACTACCATACTTCAGGCTGGACGCCTGCTGCTGTGGCAAATACAGGTTCTCCTCTCTGAGCTGTCCCACGAGTGCACTCTGGAAGAGATGAGAATATGAGATGAAAGTTGAAGGAACTGGGTTGCTGTAGAAGCTTAAGCCATTTCTTCTCATTATTTGACATTTCAGTAAACTACTATTTCTGCTAGGGCAGTGCTACATACTACAGAGCTACAATAGAAGGGAACTGTCTTCCCTCCATCTGACCTTTGGGTATGGAAAATCATCCCACTGTCAGTAGGTCAGTAGCTTTAACACTGGTGTTCCAAACAGTCACCTGGACAGAACTGACAGGTACACTTCAACTAGTTTACCAACACCCTTCAATACCTGTTCCATGAGGCTGGCAAGAGCAGACTCCATATGTGCCATTCTGACCTCCTGCTTTGCCAGAGCAGAGGCATTGGTATCCTTCTCCTGGGACAGACCACCTGAGGATCCAAACCACACAGAGGAAAAAGATGAGCAAAGACAAAATTTCCACAAAATGCTTTTTTAAAATACAACTAATACAAATAACATTCCATGTGTGTGTTCAAATTAAGTAATAATATATACATAAATAATAACTCTCTCTCCATCTTCTCTATTATGTATAACCATACAATACTGCTATTTTCATCACTTTGTAGATCTGCATAACTCATTTAAAGTGTTGTTGTCACTGTGGGTGTATATGTGTTTATGTCCCAGCCAAAGTGCATTTTGGAGTAGAGTACAAGTGCCAAAAGATGGCTGTAGCTACATTTGTACTATGTGGGAACTGTGTGATTTTTCCACAATGCATTCCTGGAAATGTTTCACAGTAAAATTGTGATGCGTCCCAGAAGCAACCTCTGAGTGGCCTGGGCAGGGATCGGTACAGAGACCCAGTATTAAACGGCCCGAGGCAAATTTAATCAAGACCATAATAATAGTAAGCTCAGACGTTATCGGCTCTTATTGTTACTTTAAGTTTTGGTTTCATGTATCATCATGCTGCAATCTCTTGCCTGCTCTCTGCATGTCAGGGCTGACCTCCTCCTCACAACACACACACACACACACACAAACACACACATACATACTGTATATACTGTAACTTCAAGATTACTCTAGTTGACGACAACTACGCTTGTTACTGTAAGTAAGTGCAATAAAACCTCTGCCAGTAAAAAGCCAATACTCTATCAATACATGTGATCAGCATGTTTAAAGCCATATTTCAATCCGCTTTGTCCACAGTCTCTCATTCACCGCTATTATGGTTTATGATCGTGGTTAATACAAGATATGAGGTGAGGTGTGTGCATGTATGTGTGGAGGAGAGGAGAGAGGGAGATGCTGGTAGGGATAGTGTATTATTAGATACTGTTAATGTCACTTATTATGCTTCTGTGCATTGATAGTTCTTTTTTATTCTGTTTCTGCATTATGTTGAGGAGGGCCATGCATGTATATTTATATATGTATATGTGTATATATA